TGTTGGTTTTTGTTTTTTTTTGCTAGGGCCTTCCCTGGTCCCGGCCGTGAGGCAAAAGTTGTTCAGTTTACGTTTCTGCATAACATAGTTTTTTTTCGGATTTTTCGGATTTTGTTGGGGTTTTTTTTTTTTGCTAGGGCCTTCCCTGGTCCTTGCACGGCCGGGCCGTCTGGGAAAATAGGGTGACCCGGGCGGCCCGGCTGGTTGCCTAGCTCTTAACGGAACTGTGATCAACTTGAAAAATAAATGTAACGGAACTGTCCATGGATGGGATAGAATGCCGAGGTCAGTTTTTTTTTTTTTTTTTTCCAATTTGGAACGTTTTTCGATTTATGCATGTCATCCTTGCACAGGGGCCATTCGCTAATTTACCCTTCTCTGTACCGTTCCAATTTAACGGATGTCCCGAAGGACAAGGTCAGGTGTTTAGGACATGCCTGGGACCACAGCAAGCGAGACTGTGTAAAGCTCTCAAAGTATCCATCGTCTTTCCTTGTATAAAGGACGCCGGGCCCGGTTCCCGAGAGGTGCTGCTCCCCCACCAATACAAAGGGGCCATCTACCTGAGGGGCGCGATCTTGCCTGTTCTCTTGCCACCATGGTATTGCAGCCCCTAGTATGCCGGATGTTCCTTCCCCCCCCCTCTCCCCCCCTGGGCCCTTCCAACGAAAAAAAGAAGAAACCATCAGTGCACCCGGGCCTAAAGGCCCCTTGCTGTGCGTCAAGGTTTTCCGAACCGCCAGCTGCGCACTTTTCTTTTTGGCTGGCCCCGCCAGCCATTGCGGTCCCCGGCAGGCGGGGCCTCCGAATTTCTCGTAGGCTATGAGTTTCTTTCTCAGCGAGGATGGAGTCCGTGTACTGGCGGTTTAACGGAATTGTGATGAACATAAAATAAACTGAAATGGAGCTGTGTTCATGGAGCCCGTGTGTGTGTGTGTGTGTGTGTGTATGTGTGTGTACGTGTACCGGTTGCCACGGCAGACCTGAACTTGCTTCTAGTTGCTAGTGTATGTAGTACTATATTTGGAAGAATATAGTACAAGATATCAGTGTGTAAAAAAAAAAAAAAAAAAAAAAAAAAAAATGATATCAGTGTGTAAGATTATGATTCTAATCAGGAAGAGCACATATATCTTTTTTTTTTTTTTTTTCACAGAGCGACAGAAAAAAGTCACGCTAGCTTTTGATTGGAAGTGTGTGCTGTCTTTTCCTCTTCTCTTTTGTTTCCCGTTCTTTTCAAACAAGAAATGAAAATAAACGAGTAATACAGTTAAATGCACCATGCTATTATTTTTTTTGCTTTCGTTGTTCAGGGCCTTTGGTCCGCTACCGTCTTCACCCAAATAGAACGCCCGGTCATTGTAACTCTATTTGGTGCATCTTTCGGTCCAGATACGGCAATAATTACTGGGTGCTCTATATTCGGGAGAAGGCAGTAGCGCCGAGAGCGTATATGAAATCAGGGCCTTAAATC